CCACTATTCAGCCATCTTGAATCAGATAGTGAAACAAATTGATGTGCACATGTATAATATTATGTATGATGTATGTGTAAAGTTTGAATGTAATCAGTACAGGCATGTCTAAGATACATGCACAGACACACAGAGGTCTAACCATAAATCCTCATTTTCGGACTGTGTTCGAACAGGAACTAATAAAAGTACAGGTAAAATATTCTCTTACATCTATTTTCATCGCGACATCAGGATCTTTACAAATCTCATCAATGTGATCCTGTGCGATAAGAAGCTTGGAACAATAATCGCCATAAATCAGTAATTCATCCTTCCAATTAATGAACACTTTACTCAAATGTCTTGAATTATCAACTTCAACAGCTCTTTTCAACTCTTTCAAAAATCCTGAATGAATTTCATACAATTTCTGTGAAAGAGAAAAAGGTCTTGACATTAAAAACAAGCAGCCTATCAGCTGAGAAAGCTCCGCCGTTAGCAATGCACATTTCAATTAAAGAACTAAAGATATCATTAGAGAGGTCTACCCAAGATACATATACACCAAGTACCAAAGAATTCAGGCTTGTAGTTTTTAAGAAAAAGTCGAAAAAGTAAAAAGTTGACGACGGACGGCAACGGACAAATCACTCATATAACAAACATATAACGTGACGTGCGGACGTGTCTCGAGTTGTCTCTGCATTGATATCTTGATTTTAGGTTTGTTCGTTATAGTTTTGTCGTAGTTGTGGTCATAAAGATATATGAAGTTGTAACGCAGCTCTTCTGACCAAATTTGACTGGGAACCGTTCATTTTGACCATGCCAGGACAAGGTAAGCAAAGCAAACGCGATGGTCTTCGACCACGTACAGACAATGGCGGTGCTGGTAAAGGAGAAGACGATGATTACGTAACTACTCAGACTGAAGCAACTGATAGAACTCAACATGAACCTAAATTGGATACAATTTTGTCTAAACTGGACCAACTGGATAAACTGGATAAACTGGATAATATAGAAATTGAGGTAAAACGTATTGCCAACGATTTAGGAAAACTTGACAAACGAATTGATGACGTGGTGGCTTCGTTGGAATTTAGTCAGAACGATATCCAGGTGTTACAAAAGAAACTCGACGAAACAACACATGAGTTAAGAAAGGTCAATTATCGTAATGACGAACTTGATAACTAGATTAGACGTGAAAACTTACGATTTTATGGAATAGGTGAGCAACCAGGTGAGGATACAGAAATGGTACTAAGGAAATACCTGAGCCAGACGCCATGGCAATTGAATTTCAACGGGTTCATCGGCTACATGGCAAACGCAGTAGTGATAGATCGAGAGGAATAATTGCACGATTTGTAAGATATAAAGATCGCGAGAAAGTTAGAAAATCAGCGGGAAATCTGAAGGATACTGCGTATTCGGTAAGAGAAGACTACAGCCAGGGAGTTTTACAAAAACGACGTGAATTGATGCCATTGCTTAAACAAGCCCGTCGTGATAATAAAAGAGCATTTCTCGTCGCCGACAAATTGTATATTGATGGTAATATTTATAACAAAGTACAAAATGG